ACTGGCAGTTACACAGCTTTGACCAGTTTCACTCTATCCACCTGGTGTACTGCTGGAGAATGTAGTAGTTGGGCTCCCTGGACATCCAACAGACATCCATCAGAAGAGAGTGGAATTCACATTCTGCATCATACAGACGGCCACTAAAAACAGCATTTAAAAAAATCTACTTCTGTAATACGATAATCAAAATGTAGAACAGCAACCATGAAAGTAACATTTTATTGAATAATGATCCCTGGAATGGTATAATAACTAAAATGTGAAACTTCTAAAAAACTTAGTTTCCCTAAAAAATAATTACCGGTTGTGTAATTATCTTTTTTAATTTTATTCATATCTGCAACCAGTAGGTGTTACATCACTCAAAATATTACTGCCTGGCATTCCGACTGCCCCTACATTATTACCTATTATTATGGAGATCCAATTATGCTCTAGTGACAATTTAAAGCTATAATAAACTACTAGATTGTAAACTCTCATGAGCAAGGCCCTCCTAATCCTCCTGCATTGAATTGTATTGTAATCATTCATTTCCCCTTCATTTTGAAAAACAGTTATGCAAACTGTTGGCGCTATATAAATCCTGTATAATAATAATTGGAACCTCTGGGTCAGCATAATAATATATATTACTGTCTGGACAAAAAGGTACAAACATGAATCCTGATTTTGAGATGTAGCACATGACAGCTTTAGAAGCAGCACACGGCTCACCCTGAAGATAGCAGATCCTGGACTCTGGAAGATCTTTTGTTTTTTTCCCCATGAAGAATTCACTGCCAAAGTCTTCTGAACGTATGAAGGCTCCATATTTCAGAAGTCCGACTTCATAGGGGGAGAATTCACACCATTCTAAAAGAGAGACACACCGCAGATCTGTCATACAGCGCTGAATCCTTTTCACTTTAAACATATAAATACTGTATTGTGTATTCTTTAGCACTAACATAACAGAGAACTACAAAGAATAATTTCTGTTCTACTTACAGTGGGAGGATTTGTTTCCCAGGCAGATTGCAGTAATAATACATTTCATTAGCATGATAAGATTACAACTCTAGCACATGTTTGAAATTAAAACTTGTCAAATTTTGCACTAAATTCTTCCCTTAACCTCTTAAACCAAGGATTGGCAACTTCAGCCCTCCAGCTGTTGTGGAACTACAAGTCCCATGAGGCATTGCAAGACACTAGGGATGCACAGATACAGTTTTTTCAGTATCGAGTACTGATATTTTGCATTCAGTACTCGCCGATACCGAGTAGCGATACCGGTGCTTCCGTTGGCATGGAGCCAGTTTCCCAGCCAATCAGCAAGGAGCGGGCTTCCCGGCCAATCAGGAGGCAGGTCATCACTCACCTCTCGGCTTCATGATTGCCCGCGAAGCCTGCTCCATGTTCCCCTACGGCACTACCGGTCAGAGGAAATCTTCCATTGCCCGGAAATTCTGGTATCGGGAAAGGTATTGGAGCATTTGGGCGAGTACGAGTACTCACACAAATACTCGGTGCTGGTATTGGTGCATCCCTACAAGACACAGTTACAGCCATGACTACCAGGGGCATGTTGGGATTTGAAGCTCAGCTGGAGGGCTCGAGTTGCCCATCCCTGTTTTAAATGATAACCCACCCATCATTTGACTATGTAGTCATCATCATCATTCGGTGACTCTGACACTTTGCCCTTTCATAGTTTCTATTTTCTACTTTATCCAAGCCCAAAAAAGGAGGCTTGGCTAAAGCTTTCACGTGATATGATCTGTGGATGATATAACAACGGTTCTCTGTGGTACCCCATTATAGAAGCCTCACAACAACAACTTTCCAAACAGTCAATGTTTTAAATAGCAAAAAGGGCTAATCAGGTCTGCTAAATATCTGCCAAACCTCTGTACTTTCATAATCTAACAAAGGCCGAAGCATGTCTTATGGTACAGAACACCAGAAGTAGCGGTTACAACTTGCCTATATTCAGTCTGGGGGCTACCAATGGTTGCGAACCATCACCCAGGCTGGATGGAGGAAAATTGCAACCACTACTGCTTGTGGTCTATATACCATGAGCAAGGGACGATGAGGACATCCTCAAGCACCAAGTCTTGCATTACAGTTTTACTGCTATTCTCCGAGTTGGATGGCCACCTCTTTATGTGATTCTTTTGCTCCTACCAACTGACCAAGGCAACCATGTTAAGATATGTGATATGATGCATGTAGTATCTCGTGCCCACCTTTATAATCCAACGTGGAGTTCACTTTCGGTTTGACATTCATGGCCACATATAAAGGGAGAGGGTTCTGTCCATTACACACAGCTTGCCTCTGATCTGTCAGCTTATTTTCATTCACCTATTCACAGCAAACCAACATTTATTAAAGGTTCTCAATATATTGACTTGTTTAACTATTATGATTTAAAAGGAAAGCAAAAGCTGGGTTATTGTGAAAGGCAGAATAAACTCGGTGGAATTATGTTACATGAAATATTTGGCCTAACAGAATAAAAAAAATATACAGGAAATAAAATCAATTTACAGGCTGATCAATAATGTCAGATTCATAACCAAATATATCTGTTCTCTTTAAAGTACAGCACATCTACTTAAAGAGACACCATCACCTGCCAATTCAGGGCTAAGTGACAGTATCTCTTAATAGCCCATGGTATACACACTGATTCTTGCCCCCCTCGCCACCTCTCTGCCACAGGAGTCCACCCCAGGTAAGCCCCAGAGTTAGATGGTGTCAGTGCTTAACTGGGTAAACGATATCACTGACCCCCTTCCCCCCCGTCTGATCATGTTTGGGCCTGACAACTGGCTGCTTATGCCCAGGCACTATCACATGGGGGAGCTCCCATGCTCCCCCATAACTAGAAGCCGTACTCTGTTAGAACAAGCAAGTAAGGGCTCTTGACAAAACCGGGAGGCGGCAATGGAACATGGACAGGAGAGTATACTTTGATGGGTCAGGAGGGCTATCAGGAGAATTTGTTTCTTTGCCCTGAATGAGCAAAGTGAGAGCGTCTCTTTAAACAAAGTATTTATAGGTCATGATTTCCAACACAAAAGTCTTAATTCTTCATTCATTCTTTAGTTCAGACAGAGCCTTGCAAATTAATCTGTTATGCCCCTGTGCATCCTGACTTGCTGGGGTATAGCACACAATGCCCAATCCTACAAAGTCATTTATTGTAATCTACACACAGAAGTTTCAGGCTTACTAGCCATTTTTTAAATGTTTAGAATTGCTGTGTGACTGATAACCCGTAACCTTTCCTAGGGGAAAAAAAACAAAACAAAAAAGAACCTTTCATCATGCATCCATTTATAATCCATGCTGTGGGGGAAGGTTGCAGTGTGAGTGCTTGAGTGAGTATGGGTGGGTAAGAGCACCTCATGACACTTCCTCATAAGTGATTCACTCACCTTATCATACATCGTGGATTCAATGACCAGGCCCCATAAATCTGTGAAGGATGTCTTATAACCCATTTCTGCCCTCTTGTTCAGTTCAGCTTTGTAGAAAGATAGGTTATCAAAGGAAAAGGCAGACATCTTGCTTTTGGTCGCATTCCTGCGAGCATCTTTTATTGTTTCAGTTAGATCTTTGTGTGACCAGTTGGCATCTGCATATAATTTACTCATTGCCCTGTGTAAAAATGAACACACCATCAGGAAATTACATTAAAATGTGCATCTGTAATAAGTTAGGAGTTGAAGCTGCAACAAAGCTCTATCACGCCGGGGGCTCAAGGCTGTTCGTGTTTCCCCCTTACACTTAACGTGCATCTTTTTTGGTATTTTTGTGTAGCATGGGGAAGGGTTAGAGTCACCCTCTCTTAGAAATGGGAAATTCAAAATTCTTACAGGCGTTCTTAGAACAGGAGGTAAGGAGAAATTCTTAAGTGGGTACAACTGTCTAAGAGGAGGTTTCCTCTCTGCGTACAGGAGCCGCCCAAGTCACAGGGATTCTAAACAGAGGAGCCTCCCAAGTCACAGGGATTCTAAACAGAGGAGCCTCCCAAGTCACAGGGATTCTAAACAGAGGAGCCTCCCAAGTCACAGGGATTCTAAACAGAGGAGCCTCCCAAGTCACAGGGATTCTGAACACAGGAGCCTCCCAAGTCACGGATTCTGAACACAGGAGCCTCCCAAGTCACAGGGATTCTACACAAAGGAACCTCCAGTCCAGAGTTAAACACCCCTTACCACGTGGATCCAGATAAACCAGTGATGTAGGAAACACAGTCCAAGAGATTCAATTTCTTCAGCGCTAACAGGGTTCCAAGAAGTGAAACCATTGCCCTCAAACCTCCACCTGTCGCTGAAAGAGCGATCACAGGAACCTGTCCAAATGAACAAAACACCATCAGGACTGGCATTCAGTCAGACAGACACAACAATACATAATCAACATTTTTTAAATATTAATATGCACAGCTATGCTTTCCCTCTCTTGGAAACACACATCACAGTTCTACCCAAGCCAGATACGGACTCTGCCATGTGTGGGAATTATCGCCCTATTTCTCATACCACGTAAATGTTTGTATTTACTCAAAGATCATCGCGGAGCATCTTAAACCCATCTTTCCCACACTCCTACATCTCGATCACATAGGGTTCACGCTCGGATGAGAGGCCAGCGACACTCTTTAAACCATTTCCCCCGATAGAATTTGCTCAACTTAATTCCTTACCTGCTTGTCTTCTCTCAATCAACGCCAAAAAAGCATTTGATAGGGTTGGGTGGTGCTTTCTGGAGGAAACTTTATTACAACTAGGTACTGGCCCAGAACCACTTAAAAATGTTTTTGCCTTGTACGTGGCCAGAGTATGTACCAAAGGTTTGCTTTCAGATCCCTTTAGTATCAAGAATGGCACAATACAGGGGTGTCCCCTTTCTCCCTTCATCAAGTAATAATAATAATAATATATATGACACTTGCTTAAAGCAGAACTCCAGCCAAAGACAAGAAAAAAAAATAAGAGGAAAAAACAAAAAACTTTTGCTGCAATATTCACCTTCAAACCAGGAGTTTTCCCCACAGTACTTTATTCTGCCTCTAGATGTCCTCAGTCTGATGGCCAGCATTAATTTACCCCCTACCTTTAAGCCTAGGTCGCCCTGGGTCCACCCAAGCCTGTGAATGGACAGTGAAAGGAAAGCAGGACAGTGAAAGGAAAGCAGCACAGTGATGAGATAATCTCTCTGTCATTCTGCTCTCTCCACCGTCAACATGTTTCTTGTCAGCACATGAGCTTACTGGCTCTTCTACTGCCCTGCTGTACAGTGGCTGCAAGAGGGTGATATCAGGTCAAATTCAGGTACCTATACTACTTGCATTTAAAACCCACAGTTATTGATTTATTAATAATTACAGAGCTGCATTAAGAAGCTTCTTTTATATCTGCCTAGAGTTCAGCTTTAACAGAGAACTCATACTGATATTTACCCACATGGTATTACTGGATAAAATGACATGTAATTATAGCATGCAAGCCTATATCTTGCACATCACCGTGTTTTGCGCAAGGCACAATGCTATTATTCTGTGATAAGGTATTAAAATGCAATTGTTTGTCAAATTTTCAACATGGAGGCCAGATTGTTTATCTATTAGGCTATGTGTATTATCTGCATTCTCCTTTTTCGAGTGACAACCACCCCTCCTCATTTCCTGTTGTGCTATCAGAGGGATAGGAAAAGAGTAGAGATGAGCAGAGCAAAATTAATTTCGCCCCAGCTGAATTTTGTTTTTATTTTAAATTAGGCTCTAATTTCACCATTTCTTCTTCTTAAAAATAAATACTGTTAAGAAAACCTTCCCATATTGCCATACAAGGCCTGTGATATCTTGGCTTTTTAAGGGTTTAAATTTCTACTTGCTTCCCAACTTTTGTAATGTTAGGAGGGGCTGTGAGGGGATTTTTCATTGCAGGTAATGGAGTTAAATGAGAGAAACACAATCCTCAAATTTTAGTCCTAAGTATTTTCACAGATCACTGTTCACAGATCATCAAGGTGCTGAGAAAAACCTAAAAAGCGTCATGTTGCCTGCTGCAACAAAACATCTAAAAAGTAAGAAATCATTTTTTTTTTATTATAATTTTTCGGGAATGCTGTTTAAATAGATACACATTACAAATATATAGAGGGGTTCTCTGCAATTTGACTGCAAAAGTGGAAAAACACTTTAAAGTGACACTAAATTTAGGAGTTAAATCTTACAAATGTATTCAAGTACCTTAACCATTACCAAAAATGAAGCTTAGTGGTATATCACTCATCTGTAGATCCTCAAATCATCTCGGCAGTTAAGTCAGTTGATGACTGGCCATAGGAAAATTGCCCTGTGTTCCAATTTGCACACAGAGCTACCCATGCCAATGACTTTACCCATCCAGATCAGATGATGACTGGAATGTTAGTAATTGATTATCTTTTGATGGAGATCCACCTACCTCGTGCTCTTGCAGGTCTCGGTCAAGCTTCAAAACTTTCTTTAATGCGTCAGCAACAAGCTTTTTCCGTTTTGAGCGGAAACTAATTTCATCATTACAGATCCCAAACCCCAGACGGATGTTCGGCTTTTCTGTGCTGGAAAGGGAAATCGCAGTGATACATGCTACCATCAAATTCATACAGTGCAAAGTTGACAAACAAACCCAGTGGATCCCAAACCAAACCTCAAGCAGCATTAATAATCAGAGTACATATATCAAACAACAGCGGTTTAAAGAACCATACTAAACTCCAGTTGTGGAGAGCGCTGGAAAGTACACAATGTGAGTAATTCTACTGGAATTCAGTTGGGATGGACCACGCTTTGACTTTATGCTATATATTAATGTGAATTCCGATATAGCATAGAGTGCTACAGTACGTGTATGAGTATCTAAATACAAAAAGGTAATATACTGCAGCTTAACTTATCCTCTATGTAGTGGCTGCATTCATTTTCTTTTTTACAGGCGTCTTCCCTTTTTTTTCACCTGGTGATTCTGCCAGTGACACATTTCCTGTCTTTGGGTGACAACTCTCACTCACTGCACAGTATCTATGGAGGAACAGCATTGTCACTAGGGATGCACTGATACCGATACTAGTATCGGTGCAAAAGCCGAGTATTTGGGTGAGTACTCGTACTCGCCCAAATGCTCCGGTGCCTAGCCCGATACTTGTGCCGAGAGAGAGCATGGAGCCGGCTTCCCAGCCAATCAGGGAGTCGAGTAGCATCGAGTACCCGGTCGGGAGCTGGCCAGTCAGGAAGCCAGGCGCCGTGTAATGACACGGCGCCCGGCTTTCTGATTGGTCGGGAAGCCGGCTTCATGCTCCCTCCTCACCTCATGAGGAGGGAGCATGGAGCCGGCTTCCCGGCCAATTAGGAAGTTGGGCGCCGAGTCATTACACATCGCCCAGCTTTCTGATTGGCCAGAAAGTCGGCTCCATGCTTTCTCGTCACCGAGTGACGAGAAGCATGGGGACGGCTTCCCTGATAATCAGGAAGCCAGGTGGCGAGTCATTACACGCCGCCTGGCATCCTGAATGGGACTTCCGGTACTTGGTATTGGCGAGTACCAAAAAAAAATATCGGTACTTGTACTCGATAACGAAATACCGGTAACGGTGCATCCATAATTGTCACCCTGGATCGCTCTCCTGATTTGGACTGTAAACACCTCCTCCTTTCATCATCCCTATTATAAAGGGAGAAGGTGTTCTGCAATTCACAGAAGATAGCTGGGAATGATAACATTATTCACAATACCGGTTTAGTACACAATTATTTACAAGGACACTAGAATCTGGTAAGATCAACAGGCATTTTTCTGTACTTGCAGAAAACATGTTTAGCCTGAAAAAAAAAGAAAACTAATACAGCCACCATATTGAAGGACTGGTAAACTGCAATATACTACATTTGTGTTCTTGGATTTATTATCTTAATAACCTGTGCAGCTAGAAATATGTAGGCTGCCACTGCTGACCCCTCTTTTGAAATTGCTAGCTGAATATTGATCTTATTTATTCAATGGCTTTCATACTTTTACATTGAAGCCATAGCCCCATAGTAAACATGCATATCAAGAGTTTTGACCTCACCAGCTGAATAGTCTTCTTGGACAGTGACTTAAAGTACTGAAACCAGAGACAGGCAGGCAAGTAGCATTTTCCAGAAGCATATAAGCAATAGAAGGTTTCACATTCCTCTTGGTACAGCCTCGAGGAAGCTATGTGGTGTAATCAGGAACTGAATAGCAATGTCTATGCTGAGGTGTCTCACTATAAAAATCAATGAAAGGAGTTTTTTCCAGGTGTAAAGACTAGAGACAGGCAAAAAAAGACATCTGTACAAAAAGTCCAGACCCATCCACCTGAAAAATATAACTTATTTTCAAAATGGCTGACTGGGATGTAAATGGCACAAGTAGCCTGTAAAACCAGTTGATTGCTGAAGTACAGTTATCTTGAGGCCAATTGGATGCATATTGCAGTGTCTCTGAATATATGCAACTGCTTCATTGGAAGTTGGGGGTATAATCAGAGTTCAGGCAGATCTAAGTTTAATAAATCCTCCTCCAAGCTAAAGGCCTGCTATGTTATAGTTCCCCCACAGATGTAAAGGGCATCCACAGATGTGGCCACTAGAGGACATCCAAGTGAGTAATCCAATGAACTCCGATTTGCTGCAAGGTCGATCCATTAAATATTAAAACATTTTCATGCTAAATGATGGTTTGGTGTAGAGTTGTAAAACCTTAATTGTGCACAGTATTTCCTTGTCCCTGGGGTGTTCTCCTATTGTGTACAGTAATAAGAAATACTGCAATTAAGTCAACTTAAAATGATGACATATAGCCGATTAAGAGCAGCATTTGTAAACTTAGATACACCCTTGGCGAACTGCTGTGCTGATCCCAGGAAAGGACATAAAGATCTTTGGTATCACAAAATACAGGACAGAAAGCATTAGACAACACTGTATTGTGCAATAATGGAGTTTAATCTGAGAACAATTGTTTTGGGAGAACGGCTTTGGCGTGACCAGCATTAATCCAGGTTGGCATTTTATCTTTGCGGGATGCGTGACTAGCATTAAGCCAGGTTGGAATTTTTTTTAATATTCTATTCATACACCCAACACTTGTGCTGACAGGACAACCTTCAAAGCTATGGAATTCTTTTCAAGGTCAGCTTCCCTTTAAGTTCATCATACACAATGCAGAGCTAGAGTATAAGAAGGTCATTGAATTGGACATCCTCTGAGGCAGCATTGTATGTCAACGCCTTAAAACCACCAGATAAACCAAAAAAGCCTCCTTGAAAATGATTTTAGAATGTGGGCAACAGGTACAATAAATAAGAATGCAGTTCACTTCCTGAGAATATGATTTAAAAAAAAAAGAACTCCAGGAAATCAAAAACTTAAAGTTGTATTAAGGTCTGGGCATTTTTTACCTTAATGCATTCTCTGCATTAGGGTAAAAACTGCCTAGTACCTTTTTTCTCCCCCAGTCCCCCCACACTTACCTGTCAGCTAAGCTCGTCCCCGCCGCCGGTCCAGAAGTGATCCTCCGTTCCCCAAACTTCTTGGTTGCAGGGGGAGGATACTGATGGCAAAGGAGCCATAGGCTCCTTCTCCCATCGATCAAACTGTTGGGCGGAGAGGAGGGGCATGGCCTGCCACAGGTCTGTGTGTGTCTATGGACGCACACAGCCACTACGGGCACGGGTGCCTCCATTAGCCGATGGAGGCACCCGTGCAGTGGCCGGGGGAAAGATTGCTGCAGGGACCCACTGGAAAACAAGGGACCCACTGGAAAACAACTTTAAGTCGGGTATACATGCTTTAATTTTCTTTGTTCAATCCTGCCAACATAAAATGAGCACAAAAGGTAGTCCCACTGCAAGGGTAAGTTTTTGATTTTCACAGATTTCTTCTTTAAAATTCACTTTCTTATCTGGGCTTTAACATTAATATCTATTAAGAGAACATGTACAGAGAAGGTACTGAGGATGCCATTACTGATCTATCCTGATGGAAATGCTCGAAGCCTACCGGTCACTGAATCGATTATAATAGCACTTCTAAGTCCCTGGTAAAGAACAAGTATGAAAGTCAGGAGTCCTGGCTTCCCTCATCTGCAGGCTGTGCTGTTGTTGGCGAATGTCTTAGAAAGTAATGAAGCAATTGGATCAGCATGGAAGCCAGACAACTAGCATTTGCAGAAGGAGACCAGTAAAGCAGCCCTGTATTTTTTCCATTACAGACTTCCTTTAAGGACAGGCAGTTTAAATAGAAGAAATATCCCTCAAAAATTAAGAACATTGAAATGTAATAAATACTTTACCAGTTTATAGCTTTGAGTTTCACTTCCAATGGTCTGGCCTAAGAATAGAAATAGAAATACAATAATGAGAAGACTGTACAATGTATTCCAGTTTTGTACTTGACCACCACGTTTTATTGTACAGACCCCATCCCTGGTACAATTCCCATACAGCTGTTATCAAGGGGCAGCCATACACATTAGTGCTCCAGTTAAACATCTATGACTAGCTGAAGATCATGTTTTCTGAACTTGAAGAGGAAGCAGTGGTATCAGCAGAGAGTATTGAACCATTCAAAAATCATTTAGATACCTTCCACAGAGACCATAACATACAGGGGTACAGGTACTATTAAAAACTAGAACACACAAACACATACAGACCCACAAAGGTTGAACTTGATGAACCTGCGTCTTTATTCAACCTCAAATACTATGTAACTATATAATGGGATAGCTGCACACATCCATGTGCTCCCTTCTGCTTTTCATTTTCCAGTGCTCATAGTAATCAGTGAAAAGCATTAAATTATATATAAACACCATTGTTCAGGGAAACAACTGCACAGCTAAGCCAAGGAGGAAGACAAGACTGACAATGCAACTTTCTCTTTCTTGACAGGTCTCCTCTTCTTAGCTGTAATCATCTTCATGGATGTGCTCGGACATTCTCTAATCATGAGCACCCAAAAATATATATATTAGGTAACATTACGGAGGAAGTGCTTGAAAAAAAATAATTTCTAGTGCATTTGTGTATCAGGATGAGCTTATACTTGGCAGTGACTTAAGCTGGGTATATACGGTTTTGTGGTGCGGTTGAAAAAAGTAGTGCACTACTTGTTCAATGTGTTGCAGCACAGTCGAGTGCATTGTGGCCGGAAGGTGCGTTTAGGGTGCCATTCAAAGTAATGGCAATGCAATGCACCTGCTGCACTAACGCATGGTAGGTATGGAACCATGCAGTTAACGTGCAGCCTTGGTGTGAATGGGCCCTTAGTATGGGTTTCTTTAAGCAGCGGGGAGGCTATACATTCTATAGCAGGGGCTTGTTACTAGTTAAGTTCTATGTCTAATGTATGGGCAAACGGATGAAAAGCATGCATCTAGTCTATGTGACTTCCCCATTAAACATAATTTAAAAATCCAAAATAAATATTAACATTTTAATTTTTTAGCTTCACAGTTTAACCACTTCAAGACCAGGTGTTTAGACCCCCTTCCTGGCCAGGCCATTTTTCAGTGTTCAGCGCTGCAGTCCTTTGACTGAAAGATTTTCCACTGACCTGTCCATGGTATGTGAAGATCTCTTCACAGAATGTCTCCCAGCCAGTCTGCACACATGTAGTAGATTTCCCATGGATTACTATGGAAAATCCATCACTGTTGGACTCAGCTTTCCAGGGCTTTTCCCTAGAAATTAAGTGGAAATCTAGTGGGCATGCACGGACTAGATGGAAGCCTGTCTGTGAATAGACTGTTTGGCACCCAGCAGTCCCACATCAAAGATGTCAATGGTTCGTAGTCAGACAAGTGGAACACTTGCGGGCCTGCAGGGGAGGAGTAGCCTGCAATGCAAGGAGAACTTATATTTCCATTCTTTATATAAGAAATGTAAAAACAATAAAATAATGACATTACTAATACTGCTAATAATAATAATACTCATACTGAAGGCTCTAGGGGGACTGTCTGATCTCTGTTCGCTTAGTTTTAAGGGAACCTGTAAGGATAGAAATATGGGCGCTACCATTGCTGGCTGGATTTCAGAGGCATCCTGATGAATTTCCACCCGGAAAAAAATGTCAATGTGCTTTAATTTCCAGGTTCAGACATAGCATTGCTGCCAACTGCCCAAAATTTCCTGGGACAGTCCTGCATCTTGGACCTCAGTCCTGATGATGCTGTGTCCTGGGAGATATCCCAGGATCACATAGTCACCCCTATTTGAGCTACTGTGCATATTGTGATCATTGCAGTCATTGGGGATTGCGAGAACTGTGGGTGGAGTTAAGTTTGTAAATGAAATGTTGTTAAGTATGACCTAGCCACATGGTCATGCGAGCAGTGTGGAGTCTATTTGCCTGGACACACAGGCAATTACATCCTCTAAGAGGATGTAATTATTTCCTATGCTCTTCAGCTCTATTTAGTGCCATAATGTATTGTGACAAGATACATTTGACCTATAAAGAAAATATAACAATAATGTCTGTTTTATGCATATATTCACAAAGAATGAAGAATAACAGTTTCACAGGGCCAATGACTGCAAAATGTTTATAAATAGACCGGATATTTTTCTATTGGAATGAACTTTGCATTGCCTGTGGGCTATATCATACAGGCCTATGGTCTCAGATGTGGAAACTGCAGTAATGGAATCTGTTGGCTTAAATGGCACCATACTATGTGTGATTTGCAACTAAGAGACTGTCCACAGAATCTTTATATTGAGTCAGCAGCTGGATATAACTGGGACCTTTTTCCACTAGTGCTCATCTGTGCACTTTCTAATACTCGATTCCTGAGCCTCGCTATCCCATTTGAGGGGTTATATCTATTATGTATTGCAGGATGGGCAATGCATAATTGTTCACATTAGTTACTGATGGTAATTCTTCGATTTGTTCACATGTCCATTCATATAGAAGTGATAATATTCTACTGGGAGAATTTCTGACAATAGTCAATTTTAAATATATGTTGGGTGAGGTGGGTGGGATGACCTTTTCTTTTTAAGGGGTTTCACTAAGAAAACATTTTCTAACACAAAGGGTGCACAAAGGGAGCCACGCATTTTAATTTTTTGAAAAAGAGGCCTTCATGGTGCACTTTGAAAAATGGTTCTCACTTTTATTTTGGAAAATGGGCACACTTAAGTAGTGTGAGCACTGGAAAATAAACTCAGTAGGAAGCTAACACGGACTAACCTTAAGCATCCAGAAGAGTCTTCGAGCTTTAAGGAAGATCACTGGTGACCAGCAACTTGAGGTCCCCTCAGCCTCAGTTTGGCTTAAAGCTGAAGATCCTCCTGGCTAAAAGTATGGGGAGAGTAAGACAAGCTTGGATCTGCTAAACGACTATTGCATCCTACATCTCTACAGATAATAGTTTAGGCACATGGTTATAATATAAAATTATTTTTGCATTACATTACAGACACTCTTCACTTAACGACTGAGTTCCGTTCCTACGACTTGGTCCTTAAGCAAATTGGTCGCTAAGTGAGTAATAGAGGAAACTAGCTATAATATACAGTGCATTGCTTAGGTTTGCATCCTGTAAAAATTAATGTTCAGTACAGTAGTGAATACTGACTGAGCTGACCGATTGGGGGAACAACAATGAGACTGAGAAAGGGTGATGCGAGATGAGCTTGACCCAAGTTCTCATACAGTGTACAGTACTGACTGGTTGGGGAGATGGTCGTAGGTCTGAGCGGTCGTTAAGTGAGGAGTAGCTGTATATAAAAAAAAAAAAAAAAAATGTATCACTCTAAAGAAAGGGTGGACCTAATTCTACTACTAGCCTCTGCATATAGAAACAGAGTGGGACTATATTTTTACCTCACTGCTTTGGTGAACTAAGCCCATAAATGTCAATATAATGTCTCTTATTATTCACAACATCATGATTGATGTTGCTACATAAATGTCTACTAAGGATCCAGCATGCAACTGGAAGGAATAAGGACAAAATTCTATATTTTTACCAACGCTCAAGTGCCCGGACTCCTATAACATAAGCATTATAGACGAAAGTGCAAGCCTAACCAGATCTTACTCACTTTCCTCTAGAATGAAAATTATAAAACACTACTCTGCCTGCTGCCCTTGGACATAACAGCAAGCAGCTATACCTTCATCTTAGCTGTATGCCTGCAAAGAGTGTTGAAGAGCCTTAAGATGTTACAGCATGCACCTACTAGAATTGACAGCAAATGTCCTTTAAGCACTGATGCGTATGATAACAAAGACATTTTTTAGAAAGACAAATATGAAAGACTGCATGCCCACATTTCATATTTACCTATTTCTAACATAGGGGAAACAGAGTGACCTCTAGGCACCTTATCAAATGTTTACCAGGCTGATCTTATGTGCTTTGATAGGGTTTTATACAGACTTTCTATTATAGAAAGACTAGAGATAGACAGTCTGAAAGCAAACAGCTTCTACTGTGCACTGTAATTCCAAAATAGTGGTCTAGGACTCCAGTTTAATGGCTGCAGCTCTTTAAATATTTATAAACAATATTGATGCAGAACATCATCCAGCCAAGAAATGAGGTGGGCCCTATATGACTTGCTGCAACTGAAGCAATTTCAGTAAAGGAAAGTAGCCTGTACAACTGTACAGTTCTGGAGTTCCGCTTTAATATATATTAGGTTCTTTGGACAAGACATATAATTAAATATTATTCTCAGGATAAATGCATACTAATTTTAAAACAAAGAATCCTAAAGATTATCAGGAATATTCTTTAACAGCGAGGTAAGTGTTTGCCATACAGTGGCTAAAATGCTGACCACCAACATCATGCAGGTAAGGAGACTAGCTCTTACTATAGCAACACTGATGCCCTGGATTTCATATGCTCTGGGACCCTCACAAAAATGGAGTTCGTAGATTTTCCCATCCCCTAAATATTCTGGTTTTCTCCCACACTGGAAAAATACAATCAGTTAACACTGCCTAAAAAAAATCTGAGAAAATGATTTGAAGGACTTCAGTGATTCTGCCGTGAACTTTAAGGATGAATTGTTCCAAAGCCCCTGCAGCCACAGAGGACAGTGAGGGTTTGTTTGAAAAAGAACTTCGGTAGTAAAAGTGCTAAAAGATAGTTTTTTGGCAGATGACACAGGCAAAGTCTTTTCTGTCAAAAAAATCCTTTCCCTTGCTCCTAGCAGTTTTTTATATTTTGTGTACATTGCCTGTGACGCAAGCACAGTGCAGTGTACATTCTTAGCTCAATGTACTACACCATTAGTAGCTTCCCAATGGCAGACCCATGGGAAGATATCAGCGGGTGAATATGGAGGAACAAGGGGGAGTGCAGATCGCTGGAGGAGGACACACTGAATGGTACGTGTCTGATAATATGCAAATGTGATGTGCTAAACCCTCCGATTTTTTTGCATATATCTACTGCTGGTAAGCAGTAGATATATTTTCAAAAAGTTAAAAAAAAGGCTTTAAAAGCGATTTAAACTTACCCCTGTCTTCGCCGCGTGCTCCCGTCCGAAAATCCGAAACTGCTTGGGCGGTTGCCAACCATTTTGAGGACGGGCGCATTCGCAGTTCGGATTTTCGGCTGGGAGACGAGGAGAGACGCAAGGTAAGTCTATGGACGCGTACACCCGCATGCAGACACCATGGGACAGGAAGTGCCAGCAAGGACAGAGGAGTCAGCGCTGGATCGGAGACCCGCAGCAGCGCTGGAGAGAAGGCTGAAAAGGACAGGAAAGAAGAGGAAGATTGGATTAAGAAACATAATTTAAGGTAAGTGTTTTAATTAACATTGGGGGGAGGGGAAAAAAATTTGACTTTGTCACTTTAAGAAGATGCAAATACTTAAATGTCTATAGCCTGGCCAGATTCACTTATAGTGAATAGTATTATAATAGAAAATAAATCACTATTATTATTATTAAGTTTTCTCCCATTATGAAAACTTTTTTCAGGCAAACAGTTAAAATAACATTGTGTCACAAGCATTGGGTGTCATTTGTTCACTAAAGCAAGCTAAGCAATGTTAATGAACACACTGGGTTGGGAAATTTTGCAATAGTACTAAAAAACAGAGGAACAAATTACAGTACAATTATTTTTAGGTAACTTTTAAAAAGTAATGTACACAAAATAATTGCCTTCTTTAACCAATATGATTCATCTCCTTTCCCCATTGTGTGTTGGGATAAATGTTATAGAAATACATTACATCACACAGAGGTTACATTTCTATGTAATTAAATCTGATTATTTCTTTTGTGTTTAGTGTCATGTGAATAGTTTTCAAATGACATGAACCAACGTTGGTTCATCCCTGCAAATAAATTATTATGGCAACTAAGTGACTTATAACAGCTTACTGTAAGAACATTATTACTCAAAGAGTACCTGTCACCTACATGTTACTTTTTAATGCAGGTAAAAACCAGCTTTCTATGGATCGGTCCTTAGAACGGCCAGTTAGAGGTAATCCCAAATAGACTACATCTTGACTGTGTGGGTGGGCCACGAGAGGCCTGCCCCTGCGGGAGCTGCGGCGGCCGGGTCCGCGGGGACATTTCCATACTTTTTGCTCGTCTTCATTCACTTTTTCTTGCTTATCCTGCCCTTCTGTTTGCTTTATCTCCTTTTCTTTTACTTCACTGCTTTGCCAATACTCCTTACACAGATGTTTTTGATTTTTTTTACTGATATGTTGGGTTGCGCCTCTCCACCATGCAATGTATTCCACTCTGTTTGTAGCTCTCCCAGATTTATGATGCTCGAGTGGTGGTTAGCTATTCTGTTTCTTCTATGACTATTTACCAATTTGTTCACAATGTTGTGTTTATGCTACCTTCTATGGATATGACCTATTTGATCTGAATGCCCTTTCATGCTTCAATGGTCAAGAGCCTTGGCTCCCATTTTTGTGTTTTGGGTCAATTTAAATAAAGAATTGCAAAAAAAAAAAAAGACTACATCTGAAAAGCCAGACATACATTTGGTAAAGCACACACCATCATATTATTGATCTTGCTCTCCAGTGGGTTTGTTAAAAAAGGATTTTTGTTAATGGCCAATTCACACACTTCAACACATGTATACAGCGTTAGTCTGGCCATATACTGTTAGAATTTCAGCAGATTCAAAGGAATCTGACAAAAATCTGACTGTGTGCGGCCTTGGTCGATAATGAATAGACTTTTGCTGAAGGATCTGGGCTGGCAATGTTCACCTTAACAGTGACTGCACTGCAGCCGATCAGTGTTGGTGGCTGTCAGAATACAATAGCCGTAGAGGGAGATGCGTCCATCCGTGCTCTTTAGCCTGCATTGAGGAATCAGTTATAAAAATAAATCTAATAGCGTATAAGCAGCTTAAGCCACTGCTTTAAAATGTGCCAGTTCACATCTGTGCAATGTGTTGATGTGCATTTTCCATTTTGTGATACATCAAGATGCGTTATAGGAAATATTGATGAGAATGAAAGAGCATAAAAAATGCATGAAAACGCACAAATTTGTGCATTTTCACGGAATGTCTGATGGCATTATCGAATGGTCCAAAGATCTGTCGAACAAACGATCATTCAGAAACTAAGCCGGATTTACTTTTTCTGCTGCCCCAAGGCCAGGATCCTCAATGCTCCCCCCTCCCCAATGGAGAATGGCAACAGATGACGGGGGCGCCAGGGTTGGTTTTAATTATTTTTTTAACTACCTCCTGGAAGTGGTTAAACTATTTTTTTATTTTTTTACTTTATTACTTTTTTAGTTTAATTATCATTTCTTATATTTTTTTTTATCAATGTTTAATTTTTATTTGACTATTTTTCACGTAACTTTATTGCGATCACACAGGAGCCAACAAGCCCGTGTGATAGCATTTGGAGGTGACAGGTTCTCTTTATTGAATCTGTCACCTCCAATACAGGAGTTTGAGTACAGTACTGTGCTGGCTCTCCTCCCATCTCAGTGTTTACAGGAAGCAGAGCGGAAAACAGACATTCTCCGCTTTTCTGCCCGCTCTCCATCCTGAACTAGTTTGCCATGGTCCTGGTTCCCCCAGAAGAGCGGGGGACCCTGAAAGCCATGGTGGGGAGGGAGGCTCCGGCGGGGACCCAGACGCCAGGCCTCGGTGATCTTGAGGGAAATCCGGCTCTGTTCAGAAATCTACAAATGTATGGCCAGCTTAAGTCCTGTGAATCACTTGACTGATCTTGACAACGCAATGCAGCATCAAATGCTAAACTACTATTAAACTCACGTGTCACATAGTAAAACCTTTGTTGAGTTTTCAGGCTGACAGAATAATACAGACAAATAAATAGGTGGACAACATGCTAACTTGCTAGAGCTTCTCAGGGGAAGAGAGGCCGCCATACAGCCACCAATCATTCTCCATCTGCCAGTACTGAATGCAGGTTGAATCTGATTGGAGGCTGTGCGGGCAGTACACACCTCTGTATATTTATACTATTTAACAATACATTAAAAAAACTGCCACCACTTCATTTTCCACCACAGTTAAAATTACCTGGATGTAATGTCCATCTTAAAAAACACAAACTGGCAGAAAAAGTAATTGCAGATGTTACAGTAGATAGCGTGTTCTCTCATGCGTTTCTTGCAGAGACAAAGTAAAAAAAAAAAAAGTCAATGGTTTAATTGAAGAAATTGGAAATTGTACCTGAATCCAGCGCAGGGGAAGGAAGCAGCGGAAGCACCAGCAATTTGCATAAACCTAGTTTGAATGTTTTAACAATTAAATACAGTCTCTGAACTGCCATAACAGATTGATAAAGTAAGGTTAAAATATGTGTAGTGATAGATGTCAGTTATAAATAGAATAATATGTTGGGACATTTTTCTTAATTAAAAAATGCCAGCCTACCCTAAAGTGTTACTTTCGTTATAAGTGGAGTGTGCTGGGCTGAGCCTGCCCCGGCTTTTGATATGTTTTAGATACTCCAACAGAGAGATGGTTCTAGTAGTAAATTTGTATTAGGTGTCATCTCCCAGCTCCTTCTGTTGCATCTCCATCATATAGAACAAATAAAAACTCCCAGCAAAAGCAAGAACCTCATAAATATGGCCATAGCATGTATGCAGAACCAGAACTCAAGCGCACAGACCCCTAAGATATATAAGCAACTGAACTTTGGGCAGATATTCAAAAATATCAATTAACACGGGTATGTAGCCATTAAAAAAAAGTATTAAATATATTTTAAATGCAGTCAAATGAAAGAACCCAAATTTGACTTGGTATTAGTCCTTTTGCAATCCCTTGTGCAGCATGGGATTGGCAGCACTAGAAGCCAATCAGGTATGCTACATGCCCATGTGATGACAAAGAACATTCTGAAAGGAGGGAAAAGCAGAGAGCTAAAAGTAGAACTGCCACTGCTCCTTTATTGTCCAATCGGAAGCAGGGGTAGGGAGCAAATCATGGAGTATTGCTGAACTGCAGCAGAGAAACATCAGGTCACATGCCTGTGCGTGTACACTTTGGCAGAGCTGAGTAAATCTCAGGACTGGGTGGACAGAAATACAAATCCTTTGGCAGGTAAAAGAGTTCTCTTATATGAATTTAATGTGTATTTAGCTGTTTGCTTGGAGTTCAGCTTTAACTCTCCAACATCGAAAGTGACCATGTTTCCTGCTCTCCTTGATAAACACATAATTAAAACTCATATTTATTGCCCACCTGAAGCTAGCGACATCGTAAGCAATAAGCTCTGTATCAGTAAGTAGAGCCGATCCAAGCGAAAACAGATCAACTTTGTGAATAAATAAATACATTTTCAATAGTAAAAAAGCAGACAACGCACTGTACTGGAAATACTGCATGTGTTTTGGTTTTGGTGGAATGAGCCGAGCATGTGTTATCAGGATCCCTGCAGTACACAAGCACACTGGGGCTTATTTAGCAAAGGAGAATCTTTATTCAATAAATTGTGTAAATATTCAATAAAACAGCAAATTCCTGTTTACTTATTTCATCTGCATATGATTGCATAATTAAAGTGAATATTTACACAATTTACAGTGTGCAGATTCACCTGACCTCCATGTGTGTGTCCACCAGACCTCCATGTGTGTGTCCACCAGACCTCCATGTGTGTGTCCACCTGACCTACAAGTGCGTCCCCCCTGACATCCACGTGTCTAACCTACATACAGCTATGTGTCTACCTTATATACATATAAAGTATTCTAGTAATCTTGCTGTGTAATATCCCTCATACCACATGGATAATGTGTGTGATTGCCTCAGGCAATCTGTACAGCTATTTGCAGCACAGGAATCATAACATAAATGTCATTGAGTGAATGGCACAGCATGTGCCAGGTATTGTTTACACATGGGAAAACTATGTTAAATAGGATGCAAATGAGTGCCAAGATCTAAACAAGAATTTTGTTTACCTCCTGTAGACGATCATCTCTTATGGAGCAAGAAATCATGCTATTTGTGTAAATGTGCAGGCAGGTGGAAACAGACAGCCTGTTAGGGCAAAGAATAATGGTATTTCTTTGCATCTTTCAGCAGTACATAATGCCTTGCCCTATTGTTCTACTATTGTATTTATAGAAATCAACACCAACATATGCAATATGGTATAATTAAGAAAATTGAAAATACTTGAAACAGCAATGCCAACAACCTAAGGCAATCCTATTATGCTAATGCTTCAATTGTTTTCGGTCTCATACATCAATTACCTGTTGATCCTGCCAGTTCTCTGTAATTGATTTTTGTAGCTGGGCCAACAGCACAATGCAGCCGTCATTCCCCAATCATCTTCCAGGACATCTACATGAAAGATGATTGGTTCCACCTACTGTATAAAACACAAGCAGACACTTTAAATACTCCTCCCACCCTCCTTGGCCCTCAGTTGTGTTTCTGTTTCCTATCACCAGGAACTCAGTGCAATGTTATAATTGCATGACCAGATGGTCGGTGGCCACTCTGGTGGCGCAGGTCTGTGAAGTAATTTTTCTGTCTTTTTTCCCAGGTTTTCCCCTTGCTGAAAGGTTCTTGTTCCCCTACAGTGTGGGAATGATAACAGTGCCTGATTGCTGCCACAGTAAAATCCTCTTAAGGGCGGGTGCCATTGCTATATGATGGGCCATGCTGATGCTTCTGTGCAGAAAGTGCAGCAGATGTGCATCTTTTCCTCCCAAGTTGATGTCAGAGGTGCAGCCTAGAGTGGCGGGAACCAGCTACCTCCCCTTACTGAATGCAGAAAGGGGAGCAGGAAGCATGATCAGTCATTTCCAGTGGGCCAATGACGCACCTCCAGCCGTGCCAACAGCAAGCATCAATGGCCTAGACCTTTTATGTGGTTTAACAGGACCTTCCAATCCCATTACTATGCATTCAAACAGTGAGGCAGTGACCCCAACACAGAGGCCATCAGTGGCTGGGGCACTGAAAACACCTGCACAGAAAGAGCTGCCTGCACCTAAGGGAGCAAGTCTGTGTTCTTTCCCTTCTTGTGCTGGTGGCTGTAGTGGGTAGCACTAGGAGAGAGGGAATGCTAGGACCCTCAATACTGTCCCATGCACTTTCTCCTGTCGTTCCCTACTGTAGGGCTTAGCAACCTGCCACACATTGGAAAATTCAGGTCCTAAATAGGAAACGTCTTATACTAATTTTCCCCCTAAACAAACGGGGGAACGATGGACTATGCTCTTTGTATCCCAAATCGCTCTGTGAAGCATGTATTTAGAGAATGTTAGCAGAAGAAGATCCCTCGGTTATAAAATATTTTACAAATACTGTGAGGTCCAAGATGGAATCCACTTTTCAATTCTTTCAGTCAGTACTTACAGACTACTTACTTTATACTTCCAAGTCCAAGACTTCAACTTCTCAGTCTTCCAGCCAGTCTGCTATTATACGGCAGCTGGTTCCATTGGCAGAGGAAGAGGACAAGGAAGGGTCATCTAAAAGTCCAGAGGAAAAGGGAGAAACTGGGAATCCCACAGACTGGGCTTATATGCCCACCCTTTATTTCTTTCAGTGGATGAAGTGCAGGAACTTCTTTCTGCAGTATGCACCACAGAGCAGATTCCTGTGCCCCCCAATGCCTTTACAATTCAAGATAATATGTATAGGGGTTTGCAGGAGTGAAATTGGAGAGTCTATCCAATTTAAAAGACATAATTCTAAACATATGGAAAGATCTGGAGAAAAACATTCTTAATCTTATGGCCTGGAAAAGACTATTCCCCTTCACTGCAGAATACGGAAAATATTTTTCTTTAAGGTTCCCTAAATTGGACGATGCTTTTTTTAAGTGTCAAACTCAGATCTTTCCCTTGTAGATTTCTTTCCCCTAAGTTCACGGGGACAATCTCAGCAGAACCCCAAAGGCCAAGACTCCCAGAAATTGGGCTTTTAATAAAAATAAAAGATGGAATCCTCTTAAATTCTGCAGAACCTGCCCCCAAGGACAACAAATGACTTCAGCTCAGACTTTGGGGGCAGACTTATGCAGCCCAGTTTCAGTGGGTCAAAATTTCAGGCAGCCCCTATGTCATGCAGCTCCTACAAAAATAATTTTTAATCCATCTGCTAAGAGACCAAATAAAGACAAAAGCACTCCTACAAGCCAGTTGTTTCAGGGGTTATATGCCTTTGGTGTCTACAAGCCATCTGTAAAACACTGCATGATTATAAACCCGAAGCTATTATACAAATATCTAGTGTACAAAAGATTCAGGATGGAAAGCATCTTTTCAGTACGAAAGATTCTACAAAAAGATGCGTACATGGTTACACTAGATTTTCAGGACATTCCCATTCATCCACTTCATCAACAATATCAGAGATTCGTGGTCTGGATGGCAAATGCCATTCAACAGTGGCAATTACAAGCATTACCAGGGCTCTTGGTGGCACGCAGAATATTTACCAAAGTATTGGCAGAGCTACACAGTACTCAGGTGCTTCCTTATCTCGACTATATCCTCCGATTTGCTTGGACCCCAAACAAACTCTTGTTCACTGGGTACTGCAGATGCTACAGATCTTGGGGTGAAGGAAAAAATTGAGAAAAGTCCTCCCTCCAGAATTTTTCTGGGTTACATGATAGACTCTAGGTCAGGGGTGCCCATAAGGTCGATCGCGATCTACCAGTCGATCGCGTAGCGATCACTGGTAGATCGCCATGTCCTCTCCTCCCGCTGCTCTCCCCAGCGGGGATCCGAGAAGAAGTAGTCTTAAAAAACTTTAATAGTTCAAACTAAACCAAAATCATAACCTCCATCATGTAAGTTAGAGAATATCCTCTGGTGTCACTCAGACAGATCATAAGGCTTCTGGGTCCAAATACAGCCTCAAGGCCAGCAGTTAACTGGGCACAGCTACATTTCAGATTGCCACAGAAGCTCTGCTATCAAAATGGCCTTGCAGCCTAATCTCTCCAGATTCCATATTCAGCAATTCTCAGGAAATTTCTCAGGATTTAACCGGTGGTTGCAGCCAAAGAACCTGTCAGCGGGGAAGTCCTGGAAGTAGTTTCAACCTGTAAGGATCACCACGGATGCCAGCGCCTGGGGTTGGGGGCCCATACTGCCACCCATCAGGATAAGGAGCTTTGGAAATAGACAGCATTGGCAGACTCATCCAGTTACCGAGGACTAGCAGCTATGCCCGAGACATCTGGTCAAGAGTCAAGAGGTCCTTATGCTCTCAGACAATGCTACAGCTTACCTCAGTTCCCAAGGAGGTACCAGATCGCCTTAGCTGTAAGGCCTAGCTTACGACATAAACAATGACCATAGTAAAAAAGATTATTTTCTTTTAGCATAGAGAAAGACTGACTGGAGATAGATGTGCTTTCCCATCTGTGGCCCTTCGATCTACCTTAAGCCTATTACCCCCTTTCTCTTCTCCTGTCAAAATTCCAAAAAAGGGGTGGTTCAAGGACACTTTGATTGTCATACTCCCTCTCGTGACCCAAAAGAGCTATCCAGCAGAATCTGTCCCTAGTGCCACCTTAGCATGTTCCAGTACAGCAAGTCCAGTCTGCCACCGCAATCCTCAAGGTTTTCCATTGACAGCCTGGCTCTTGAAAGAAGCATCCAAAGTGCCAACTGACCTTACCAGATACCATACCAGATTTCGGTACTTTCATTGCTCTTGGATACAAAGCTCACAGAAAACACTTGAATTAGATGAGTCAACTCTGTGCAGGAAAGATGCACACCCATGGTACTGTATGTAGATCTATCCAAAGTATTAAAGGGCCTGACCCTTACCCTGTGCTAACCCTTTGCAAGATTCTTCCTTGAAATTTGTTTCACTGAAGACTGACTTCCTCCTAGCTATAACTTCAGCTAAGAGAATAGGTGATTGCAGGTCCTCCCTATTTAATAAGATTCTTTAACGGTTCTGCCTAATATCTACCCAAGATGGCCTTCAGCTTCCATAGGTGGCAGGAGTTAATATTACCATCCTTTTGCAGCAAACCTAAAAAAAGGAGATGACGATAGAGTTTAGGTTTTCAGTGGCCATAAGAAAAGGTATGAGCTCAGTCGCCAGCTGAATCTAGAGACTATTTCCTACAAATAAAAATAGAAGAAGCCCAACATAGGTATTGCAGGCCTATTTACCAAGAACCTTGGCAACCTCTAGGGCAGAGACACCTGTTGCCAAGGTGAAACAAACCTGTAGAGAAGCTGTATGGTCAAGTCGGGACATTATCAAGAGGGTGGAGGTGCTCTCTCTTTCCATAGTAGCCAGATTCCAGATGTAATTTTTTACAGTGCAAATTAGAAATTAAAGAAAAATGAGTGATAACTCTGAGCAACTAAAGCTAATTATTTCCTCCAATTAAATAAATTATACCATGAAAGATCGAAAAATCTAAACATAATTACTAAGGATATATTGCTACACTGCCATGATGTACAACAGAAAAGTAATTGAAAAGGCTGACAAGTGCACTCCAAGAGATTATCTTCACTCTTAAAAAGACTGTCACCAGTTCTCGGAGTGTCCTGATTCCTAAGCTCTGAAGGACAGTGAAGTATCCTTGAGGACCCATGCCTTAGCGGGAAAACTTGACAAAAAGAGGTACCTATTAGTGTTGGGAACAATAAAGATAAAGTAAAGCGTATCTAAGCAAAACTTTATTATATTGCAGCCTAACAATCCTTAAATGTGGTGGCTCTATTGGATTTGTATTTTTAGGCTTGTTTTCCTTCATTTTTAGTATGTCTGTAATTTTTACACTTCCATTCACAGACCTAACTGTCCACCAAAAGCAGATAGAGGAATGAGACAAACCATTAAATACTGACAGGAGTGCTTACAATGGTCAGGTTTTATTAATTTATGTAAAACATTTATCCCAAAAGGAAAACTGTTGCTGTAACTACTTAAAAAGTATTCCTGGAGTTCAAATTTAGATCCATCTAGATCTCTCTCCACAGGGTGACAATGCTGCTGCCCAAGGGTGGCTTCATTGCTCCTCCATAGGGTGCAGTCTCTCTAAAACTAGAAGTGTGTTAGTGGCCGGATAACCAGGTCAAAACAAAGGGAAAAAGGAAGAAAAAAAATAATAAAATGAATCCAGCCACCACATATAAGGTTTGCTAAGCTGCAATAAATAACATTTTTGCTTAGGGGTTTAGATAAGCTTTACATGAAGACCAGGCCCTGGTGTACAGTTGTTAGTCTTTGGGATAATGCTGTGGGAGGTGTGAGGCGAGCCTGGGAGAGCCGGGACCGGAGGTGCAGTGGATGGAGCATAACTGTGCCCGGAGCAGGATCAGCACTGTGAATATTCCAAAGTCATAGTCCTATGCCTACAATATTGCAGAAGCCATTATGTTCACATAAGTGTCCCATGCTTGATAAGCACAAAGAAATGAATGTACCGTATACAAAATAGGATGTAGCACTTTTATCAATACCCGTCACTGCAAACAATGGAATCAGTATCAAATGTACATTAGGTAAAACAAAGTATGGCAGTCCCTGGAAAAGGAAAGAATGTTGACTGCATATAGTTATGGTACAAATTCTTTACTGCAGGGATTCCCTGCCACATATCCTCAGACTGAATGCCGTCATTACAAAGTAAGGTACCAAGTGCAGAATAAAGTGAGCAAACATAAATGAAACTTTTATGAACATGCTTTGTCCTCATATTACACCACTCTCTTCTGATATAAAATGATTGTAGATTTCTAAAGGCATAAAAAAAATCAATTTGATTAAAGAAGTCCTTAAAGGGTCAGTCTACCTAAAACTGATATTTCAGTGTTTGGCAGATGCTGCAGAGTTAAACCTCATATATCTCTCACAGACCCTATTGGTGAGATATCTATATTGAGTTCCAGGTCTGAAAACTTGCTGTGGCCTTTATGTGGGGGTCCCACAGTCGGATACATTTTTCAATTAATTTTATATTTTTCAATTCATTTCATATTCCGGAGAATGCAACTGGAGGAGCAGGGCAATGCAAATGTGAGTGAGAACACCCAAAATTCCCAGGTACAGGAACAGAGCCTCAAATTATCACAGGGAGTACTCGCTGTTTGAGTATCCAGAACATATAAGAAGCCAGGGATTGGATCAGTGTGCCAGGCTCCACCTCAAATCAAAAGAAAACTTTTGGGTGGACTGACCTTTTAAAGCCTCCTTGTGCAACAGGAACATTCTGCCTAGAATTGTTACCATACATGTTATAGTTTAGGAGTACACTAAACCATACATGTTATAGTTTAGGAGTATTAGATGGAACTCATGAATTCTAGTGCCAAGGACATGGAACATGGGAGACTGAATTTAAAATCTATTTTTGCTACACTGCCCATGGTGTTTATACAGCATCAACCTATAGAATCAGACTTATCAGTCCAAGTTACAAAGGAGCTTACAGTCTAATGTCCTTACCACAGTAACAGACACATGTATACTAAGAATAGTCTTTGGAATAACCCAGTTATTCTTCTGGCATGTATTTGCACTGTGGGAGGGAATCGGAGCATGTAGAGGAAACCCATACAGATAAAAAGTAAGGATGAAATCAACTGCATATCAATAAACAGCAACATGTTAAAACAAGTCCATATGAAGAATAATGTATATACCCCCCTAGACCTGATATCTAAAGTAAGAAAGACATGCAAGGTGCAACTAAGTCACTACCTCCTCTGTGATGAACCACAGGAGTAAATATGTAAAAATAATTACTGGGTTTACAAAGATTAAAGGAGAATTATGTTGTGAGTGGAAAAAACACTCATCCCCATAATTTAAGCTAACCTGTGACACTGAAGCTGTCACAGGTCGGCTCTATTGATCGGGAAGTCAGCGAACACATACCGCTGATCGATGACTTACCGATCCTCTCCCTGCAGAGAGTAGTGACGGTCAGTCACCACTCCCCACAGGGATTCCCCCCTCTGATCCTCCAGCGCTGACTGAAGGAACGGACGGGGCACCTGGCGGGCAGATCCAGCTGTCAATCAGCCAGCGTGGTGGATCTCGACAGTATTGTCGGAACCGTCCCGACAATAACCCACTATAAGCTGAGTTTTGGGTGACCGGAGGACATTAGTATATGTTCTCCCCTAGTCCTGAAGAGAGCTTAGGGCAAAAAAGGTTGCCCCATAGTTCTCTTTTAATTAGAAATAAACCAAAATGCCACTCTTTATTCACTATTTTGGTAAAAACAAAAAAACTCTACTCAAGATTTGCTCAGCTTGATCAAACCAAAACAATGAAAGGTCTGATTGATCATGTAGCAACAGCACATGATCAATCAGACCCATCAAATGTATCACAGGTCATAATATCGAGTGTCCACTTTAGTGTGTCTTAAATGCTTGCCCAGCTTAAAGAATCAAGCTGCTAAAGAAAAAAGCAAGCAAGATGGCATCCGCTGTTCAAAACAAGCACATGCGTATTTGTCTCTTCTTTCAACAGCAGTGGTATCAGGCACCAGTATTTAGTACTGTAAAAAGCTGCTAAAAAATGGACAATGTAAGAGGAAGGCTTAATGCTTTTAAAATAAACTATACAGATGATACTTTCCGTATCTTTCTGTGCTGTTATGGATAATAACACTAGGTAAGCACAATCACAGTATTATGTAGAGTTTTTAGGAATAAGTTCAGGGATTGGAGTCTTGCCCAACAAGTGACATGTATGCTCAGACCTTTCACCTGTTATTGAGGCATGCTCTGCACCTCTAGGCACATACTCGCTGGCAGAAAGGTTCAAAAGTTTAAAAACTAGCACATCTGACGCCTAAAATATTTGGGCATAACCGTACGTTACAAATGAGTTCTGAGTTATCACTTCCAGTAAACTACTAATGGTATGCAAAGTATTTCCAAATTCTCTGATCATCATCACAAGTACTATTTAGTAGAAGAATGGGATAAAGAAATACACACTTACTGGTACTGTAGAAAGGTGGATCTTTTCTTCCTGGCCAACAGTAAGGTCCTTCACTGGAACCACTTGAAGACACTGATCATTTGTACCCTATGTCCAATAACAAAGTTTCATTACAACGGCAATGGTTTAATCATCAAGATGCTTCAAAGGATCTACCTGTGACTTTACCTAAATGATGTACAGCTTCTCCTACTCTCAACTGGTTAAAAACCAAGATTGAGTAACATCAGAATGAAAATGAAGACAAGGGCATTTTAAGAAGAATGCAGTCAGATTTAGTTATGAAAGAAAATGCACTTCGGCTGTTCAAAGCTAATGCATTGCTTTAGGACTTCAATAACTAATGTATGAAGTCCACAAAACCGAGGGGTACCTCAATCAACCATGTACACCAGGGGTGGCAAACACAAGGCCCGCGGGCCGAATCCGGCCCACCGGACCTTGTAATGTGGCCCGCACAGCAGCCAGGGCTTGTCCGCTATGCCGACTCTGTGCAGAGCAGTGTCTACTGTGTGGTAGCGAGCACACAATGGTGTTATGTGTGGCTTTCAAAGCATTATTAGAATGGGAGTGTGTGCATGAGATATATCTAGAATTTTACATAAAAGTGGCAATAATATTGGCACATGGGGAAAAAAAACAAAACTAAAAACATATTTCTAATTAGATTGAAGCAATTGTTATGATGAACTTATAAGCAAGTCACAATTTGCTGACAGCCAGATCCTCCTAAAATATTTCAAGAAGAGTCTAAGCATACCCAGGATTCATATAAGGAAAATAAATGAATACTGGCACTTGTGTTTATCATACAGAGTAATTATCTGTGTGGTGTGAACACATTCTTGGATCTAGTAAATACTAACAGAAGCTGGCCACACACACTGGATTCCGCTGGGATAGTTTATTGAAGCTTATACCACATCACTGGTGTCCTGCTCACGGTCCACCCCCTCTACGACTGCGCTCGTGGCTGGGTGAAACGTGTCCGAGGAGGTGGACCTTTGGCAAGACATCAGTAATTTGGTACAAGCTTCAATAAACTATCCCAATGGGATCTGGTGTGTGGCCAGCTTTTCTTCTGTTTGTATAGGCTCATATTGGAGCAAGGACATGCTCCCAGTGGCAAGCACCCAGCTCATTCCTTTCCTGAGCAGTGCAAGAGCGGTGCTTCTTTTGTGTGTTCTCCTTGCACATCTAGTAAATACAATCTCACTTAAACCTATATAAAACTTATGATCAACCTGTGCAGACACTGCAAAGAACATCAGTTAGAAAAGCTGAACTAACACTTACACAAAGTATAGAGCTGAGGTCATGTCAGCATTAAAATGGTTAAAGCTGATTTTAAAGCAGATAAACACAATTAAAAGCAGTTATGTATTCATTATTAAACTTAGATGCATGTTCAAATGTAACTAGTATAACTACCAGAATCTGCCTTGAAAGCAGCCTCCAAGAATCTTGCTTATAGTACTACTTAGACTATAGTAGGGACGGTCAAGACTCTAAGCCAGTCAAGCTCTGTTGCATGCATAAGTGCTAACAAGGAACATGATGATAGGAAGAAAGAGCACAGTAAGCAGTGGGATGACCTCATTAGTCTGCTGCTACTACTTCATCACCTAATCAGGATGGGGGCAGAGATCTGACCTAGCTGACTTGGCTACAGTAGAGAAAAGTGAGGTCATCAGCCCTGCTGGCAGTCTATTATGGCCATGCTATACTCATGACTAGTAACAGGCAACAATACCGGCGCCTCCACCTGCAATATCGGCCAGTTGCAATGATAACGAACACACTCATGAACGCATGACTGGTTAGACAAAAATTCAAAACACCTTGGCAGGTAAAACAGCTTCCCTATGTGTATATCAGCCATATATTTAGATCGTTTCCTGGAGTTCAGCTTTAAGGAAAATGCATATCAACTGAATCATAATGCAAGGATGAGTTTCTGTACAGTTGGGTCAAAATTATAGATTATTCAGCGAAACAGTGTCAGCGTAGAAATTAAACTTTATGTTTGCTTTGCCGTTCACTGTATATGTAATGAATATTTATTTAATGTGTCTTCCTTATATAACAGACCCTTGGTAAAAAATCAAAACAAACACTAACTATACCAAAAGATCGTCCAGATGCCCTTTATGCAATGCTACACAAGGTTTAACTTTACCTCTAATTGGGCTATGAGCTGAGGGTCCCACTTCCTGATGCAATAAAATTTGCAGGTGTATGTGTGATCACTGCCTGTGGCAGACTTTAGCTCCATTCTGAACTTCCTTTCACAAGAATCCTCCACTGATAAAGAAAGATAGCCACCTACATATATAATACAAAAAATACATAATGTAAATGCGCAGTATTCTTTTTAAAACTACAATACATTACATTTTCAACATAAAATGTTTAATTGGCTTAGAGAACACAGTCTTTCGGCCAAATAACTTTAGAATTCATTTAGTAAAGCTGAAAACCCTGAATATAAATGCATGCCAGTATTTTTATCTTCTGCCTTCAATTTGAGGAATGGTGGTGTTCTCTGTAATTTTTTTCATGTATAGAATTTAGCAGTTAACATCATAGGTTTTTTTGCATGTTTGCGACATAACACACAAACTGGTATACATGAAAACCTAAAATAATTTTTTTGCTTGGGGTTGATTTTCACAGGTCCTATTGTTTGAAATATAGAATATGATTACCCAATAAACATATGGGACTTTCAAGGTGCTAGACATAAGACGTCTAAACTAAAGACTTAAAGATTATTATTTAAGAATCAGGAGATCTCAGTTAATACATTTGTTTCGTCCTACTTCCAAATACCACTTTCAGTGCACCAATTTGTGTCTCTGTCACTATATCAGCTTACATACATTAACCATACATGGTTTAGAACATGTAATATCGCAGGTGCAACTCAATCCTACTTACCCCTTCCCTATGGCCCTGACCAAGGAGACTTTTCTTGTCTTGGGCGTGCAGCACTCATTATACATATAATCACCTTCGTCGTCCTGACAAAGATGACTGTAAACCGCTTTGAGGGAAAAAAAACACTTCTACGTTCAAGTGCCTATGTAACATCGATTTACTTTGTTCCAAACCATGTGTGGTTAAAGAAGAACTCTGGGCAAAACTTGTATTAACCTTTGCAGTGGGGCTACCCCTGCATTGCACCAGTTAGCTGCTGGTTTTGGTCTAGGGAGGAAAATAAAGTTATACTCACCTGATCCTGCGAGCTGGCTTGCTCTTAGACTGATCCTTCCAGCCTCACTCCCCCTCTGCTGTAGCAGCCTAAGGTCCCTGAGTTATTACATTCTATACAATGTGAATAGGGTGTGAGGATGCAGAGGGACATGCTATCGCTGGAGCGCAGGAAAACTTTGTTATTTTCAGCCCTAGACCAAAACCAGCAGTTAATCCTTGCAGTGCAGGGGTAGCCCCACTGCAAATGTTAATATAAATTTGCCTGGACCACTGCTTTAATGTATGTAAACTGATATAGCTACAGGGATACATACTGAGGCACTGAAAGTGGTTATTGGAGGTAGTATGAAAAATTTAAAACATGACCTACTTCTTAGATATTTTATTGTTATGTATTTGGAGTTTTGCTGTAAAATAATACATTAGATTTTAATATACACGCCTATGTCTGACACCTCTAAAAACACATTTATTTTGGGTAATCACATTCAGAAATTTCTAGGGATGTGGTGCCTTGATAATCAGCCAACCCAGATGGTTCATATTCCCTGAAATAAAGAGAAAACACATAGTCCTGTATACAGTATCTGTTACATAATTTTGTAGCTACCCACCGAGTAAGTTCTCTGGGATCCTCTGCTTGTCAACAGATATTTCAAGACAGGACATCTCTCTGGACTGCAACAAAACAAAAAAGAAACATTGGAGCAGCTTTTCATTTTAGGTACATAGTTTTTACATATTGGGCTTAGGCTTAGGTTCAAAATGGAATACCCTGTAGCAGCCAATCACAATTGTTCTGCTTGTCACATGAGGATGGATATATTTAAAGTGTACTTGTAAGAAAATCAACAATTCCTAATTACTAGGGATGTCCCGATACCGATGCTAGTACCGGTATCGGGGCCGATACAGGGCATTTTCAGGAGTACTTGTACTCCTGAAAATGCCCCGATGCCTAGATCAGATACCGGCCGTTTAAATCTTTTTAACTAGCTTCGGCCATTGACCCCCATAGCCCCTCCCCTGGAATACCTCTCCACCAAACGAGGCTCCCTCTCCGCTCTGACCTCTCCGGAAGTGTGACAGCATGGCAGGGGTAAGTGTTGTGTGGACAGTCTCTTCTCCCTGCTGGTGCTGGCTGCAGAGCTCGGTGTCCCTTTCACAGACCGCTGTAGCCACCACGAGAAGGCAGAAGAGACTCAGACTATGACTGTGACATCCCCCGCTGCCCCCCTCCCCCCTGTATCTTAGCTGCTGCTGCTCCTCCTCCGTGTCCCGTCCTTTTCAACCTTATGAATCGGTTTCCTTTTGGTCATATCTCTAAGTGTGAGATGCCCCTGCTCCTTGGTACACAGCAGTTTTCACTCACATTGTAAGAAGAGAATGTCCGTTCAGTGTGCTCACGGGGGAGAGAAGCTGTAAATCTTGCCTTCACACAGAACGGACATTCTCTTCTTTCATTGAGAGGGAAAACTTCTGTGTGGGTCTGGTGAGAGCATTATTAAACACATAAGGAGCATGGACATCTTACACTGAGATATACCACCAAAAGCAAACAGTTTCATCAAGTGGAAAAGGAATGGACACTTGTAACAATAGACAGCCTGCTATTGGATATTTTAAATTGCAATAGCCAATACCAGGCTGGCTATTGTACCCCCCCCCCCATTGCCTGCTGTCAATCAGCAGAGAGGACCTGATTGAGAACTTTGTCTTCAGTTCCCTCCTTTGCTGATTGACAGCAGGCAGTGGGCGGGTACAATAGCCAGCCTGCTATTGGCTATTGCAATTTAAAATATCCAATAGCAGGCTGGCTATTGCTCCCAGCCACTGCCTGCTGTATTTACATTCAGTGAATCCAGTGAAGTAGAAAGGTGACACTAGAGGTCTAAAAGACCCCTAATGTCACCTTAAAGAGAACCTGTCACCTCCAATGCACGCAGCACTGGTGAGAAACTGCCCTAAAATCATTAGTCTGTATTGTTTTTTTTTAAATGTCACATGTCCCTTTAAGGAAAAGTATCGGTAATTGGTATCAGCAAGTACATGAGGGACAGTACTTGTACTTGGTCTCGAAAAAGGGGTATCGGGACATCCCTACTAATTACTGATACTGGACCATTGCAACAAGTGTTGTCCTACCATCAACCTTATATATAATTATGTTGCCTTGCTTCCCCTGTAATCTGGTTTAAGTGCCACATGTACTTTAGACATTAGCCAAACTCAACAATGTGTGTCGATAATTTCCCCTTCCACTACACCTATTCCGATGACATAACCGCAGACACTCCTTTCCTCACATCCTTGTATCTCTCCTGCATGATGTCAGGACACAAGGTTATCCTGGTACCAAAGATAAACTAAGACACTTGCATAACGTCTAGCTACATACTGTAGATCCAAATGACTGACATTATATTCTGCCACCCCAAAATTGCTGCCATTATAGGTGCCTTTGCTGCACTTTAAATAAGGTGATGTAAGGCAAAAAGGCTACTCAGTAGCTGAAATGTTGCTACATCACTGGCAATTTTGTTCCTATACTTACCACAAGCACTCCATTCGTCACAATTTTCTCACGACCACGTGCTCTGGAAAAAAAAAATAAAAACATAAAATACAACTATCTGTTTCATTTCAAACAAAAAATCCGGGCACAAAAACTCTAATTTTAGAAAATTCCTCTATAGCCACAAGGGATACAAATCCACTTTGTTTGCACCATACACCTTTGCAAACCCGGATATTACCACATAAAAATAGCAGTGACATCTTCACTGCGCTATGCCTAGCGTGCGCAGCGTATAGAACTGTGGGAGGGACCCGGCAGGCCCCACCCAGTACAGACTGCCTGCAGAATACTAAAGACCAGTATCCTGCACAAGTAGAGAGAGCAACAGTGACCGGTCTTTAATAAATACATTTTTGCACAGAGGCAAAGAATGTTATGCTGGATTAACGCACAAGAAATACACAAAAAACCCCAAGATTCAAATAAGAATACACACCCCACTTGTATTTAGACAATATTTGCTTATCTTGGATAGCTATTTAGCTTAAATTTTGTTTATGTATTATAACATACTGAACTGTAAAATAAATAAAACATTTACTTACATTCGCTGCACAGTGAATTCTACATCCAAAGTCTGTTCTCCCTGAAGGGAAAGGCAATATTTAATTTAGTTATCATCATTAGTCATTCTATGTCCAGAGCATCCTGTGCTGAAAGCACTGTATCATTATGACAGCCAGGATACCAGTATTGTATGGGTAGATATCTCCCTGGGGAACACACAACCCTTTTGCCCATTAGAGAGGACTCTGGGCTTGGTGTGAACCCATCTCACCTGAGTGTGCCCAAGCCTGTGACCGCCACTCCTCCCTCTCAGCTCAACAGTGGCGGCAGTTTGCAACAAGGGAATTCCCTGCTCCTTTGTGACATATTGCTGCAGGGCCAGAAATGTGCTTCTTAGCAACTGACTGAGTTGGGAGGAGAGGGTGGCAGTCACAGTTTTGAGTGGGCTTGGGGAAACTCAGAAGAACTAGGGTCGCACAAGTCCAGGCTCATCACTACTGCCCATTGTCTGTAGTGACAGGACCCACCATTGTGTCTGTTGCTACTCTGCTACTCACTGCTATACTTAATGCGTGCAAACACTGTTGCCACCTTCTTGCCCATTATTGGGAAGAGGCAGGAAAGTATATTTTCTATGAGCTCTAAATTAAACTAAATATAATTAGATGTGACTGGTTTTGAGCCCTAGGAAAGCCCTAAAGGCGCAATCCTTGTCCAAGCATTGTATAAGTATTCCAATTCAAGAAAGTACTTATGGTCATCGGAACAACCTCTTTAGTGAACAAAAGCACTACTGTTTATGTAGGCCCCATTGCTACAACAGTCATACACATGTGGAGAAGCTACAGGAAGGCATGCACTGGCATATTGTTCAATCTACCTGCTTGATATCATAGTAAGTATAAAGCAGCATAAAATCTAGGACATAAGATGTAGAAGTATGCATGTGATATAAAACGCTGACCACTAGACTTACTTTAGGGTCTAGACAAAAAGTCTTCAGCTTAGTTTCTCCAACGAGGACATTCCCCACATCAAAAGCCACAATATATAACAGATCATTCCCAGAGATCACATCCTCATCGTGAAGATTCAAATGAATCACATTCTGCAAATGCAAATGTCATATTAGCATGGTCAATGAATTCTAAAATGGCTTTACCAAAAATCTTTCTTGAACACATTGATAATTTTCAAAAAGAAGAAATGGAAGCCCACCACTCTTTAAACATATCGTGAAAAAAAAGATGGGAACGATTTTGATGAATGTGGCGACCAGTCAGATTGTTTTTTTTCAGTCTGACTCTTTTAGATAAGTAAACTATGATAAATTTAAGGGCATTAAGTACAAGTCTTTCTTCACATACTGTCAGGCAAAGGACAACAGCGATGTACGTTTCACTTACCTTGACTTTATTGCTGATGGTATACTCAAATGTTTCATTCCAGACAGGAGAACTGCAGTTTGACACGGTGGCTGTCTTCAACTCACTATTAGTGGCAGTCGGGAGCCACAAACTCACATAACAGTCAGCATTGCTCACTGTAAACAACCAAAGACAGCAGAATAAGTAGATATAATTCACACAGATAAGGTGGGCAAGTGTTTCCACCAGGAGCAACGGATGATGGAACATCTGTGTATCCTCACTTGTATCAGTGGATTGCCTAGAATGTCTTATCAAGAGGTGCCTGAGATAACATTAATCAGTAGGGTATTTGATAAATACTGACAATTATAAAGGAACACACAGTTTAAAGGGCCAACTAAAACATATATTTTCGTTTTTTGGATACTTGAGAGTTGAACTACTGGACTGCTTTGTATATCTATTGGAGGGAATGTGTTGGTGAGATTTCTGCACTTAAGTTTCTGGGTCTGCACACCCACTGAGGCTATAATGAGAGTCTCCCTCCCTATTTGTTAGATTTTTATTTTAACTTTGTATTGACTTTGTGCACGGGCAGCGGGAAGATTCAAAAGAGGATAACACCCAACACTCCCAAATGGACAAGAACAGAGTCAGGAATTATGGCAGAAAGGTCTTGCTGTGGAAATATCCAAGACTTCAGAGAAAGCAGAATCACCCTACCCGTCTCGACCTATAGCTAATAATGCCTTTATGTTGGATTGACCCGTTAATGCAATTGGGTTTAATACTGTTAAACTGCTTGAAACTGCCACCATATGAACTGTATAGACACCCTAACACAGGCATGTCAAACTGGTGTTTTATAGGCCACATAGGGGCCCCTTGTTCCATCTCTGCACAATTAATGGTCTAAGGATAAAAAATTATAAGGATAAAAAATATAAAGAAATACCTTTCTGGGCAATGTTTATTTGTTTGATCTGGTTTCATGATTGGAAAAAAAATGTGAGAGTTTAATACTACTTATAGGTGCAGCCTTCAGTGGACATAATGCGGCCCCTTTTGAGCTTTAGTTTTCTCAATTCGGCCCATTGTATAATGTGAGTTTGACAAGCCTGATCTAATGTGTCCCACATAAAAACTAATGAAGATGCCAAAGAAACATCTTTATTGATATATTTACATTTTGTCATAAGGATAGCAACGTCTCGGCATTTGCTGCACAGGGTCCCTTCATCAGGCTCAATATAAAAAACTGAAAAGCTATACACATCTAAAAAACAGATTTCTATAAAAAAAATATCCAGGGTCAAGAGAACACAAAATCTAATAATTTATAGATATAGCTTTATTTGCTTCAGAGTGACAAAAGCTAAGTCTATTTGCACTTAACCGGCCAATAAAGCTAAATTACAACTTGGTTCATAGAAAAAGCTACAGCCCCACCTGCAATGACTGACTGCATTAACAATAGGTTGTATTTATACGAACAGTAAAATGTACATATAAAGCAGTAGTAATATCCAAAGTGTTAACAGGCAACTGAAGCCAAAACTCTTTTCTTTTTTTTTAGTTTGAGTGCAGAGGGAATAGAACACCTGTCAGTTTTTTATTGCTGTCTGTGTCCCCGTTAGGGAGATTCAATCTTTCTATGTGTCCTGTTGTCTTATCACTAAGGCTAGGTTCACACCTGCAATACACCGCACGACACCCGGGACCCACGTCCCAGGATCGCACGGTCCTGTACAATGCAGGCAGCGATTGCTGCACGGCTCCATTGATTTCAATAGGGTGACATCCGCACGGCAATCGCAGAAAAAAGGTACAAGTACCTTCTTTTTGCGATACATGACGCGCGGCTGTTTTAGCCGTGGTTGTGTTCGGAACCATGGGCGGAATCATGGTGGGAAACCACGCGATCCACCCGGCGCGACTGGGGTGCCATTAGAAAATAATGGCACCCACATCGCGATCGGTTCACACCTTGGCGACTCCTGACCCCGCAGCGAGGTGTCGCCTAGGTGTGAACCTAGCCTAAAAGTGAATGGAAATCCCACATTTTGGGTTGTCACCAGAACAGGGATAGAAAATCTTCCAATCCACCAGGGATTTCCTCTCACTTCCTGTTGTGGCTATTGGACAGGAAGTGAAGGGAAACCTCCCCAACTGGACACAGATGGCAAAAAAAAATGCTGACAGGTTATAACCTTCCCATACTCTATCCAAAATGGAAAAAAAAAGGATTAGCTTCAGTTCTACTTTAATACAATTTCAAAAAACAGTACATCTATTTCTGCTTCTTTTTTCCTTTTTTAATCATTTGCTGTTTATGTGCCTCCTACCCCCATGCCTCTGACAGTCATACCCTCATGGAAGAATTCAAAGAAATGAGGGATACCATTTCTCAGTATGTTGATTTAAAACTAGAATGATGTATACTTACTCAAGTCTGCCCATGGGATGTTTGATGCTTTTATGACTTTAACAGTTAATTGGCTGAGCACGCTTTCCTCCTGTGAAAAGAAATCAAGTTATATTTGGCTTAAAAATTTCACCACTAAGCACAGCGCAGTAACCATCAACAATAACTTTTTTTTCTGTAAAGGATACAGTCTGCATGGACTAGGGTATCCATGGACTGGGGAACATGGAGCAGAGCCACTGAATACAGTTATAAGAGCCCAAACACATTATAAATATAACACCATTTCTCCAGCGTTCTGCAGTACAGGGGATTACAGGAGGCTGACATTAAAGTGTATCTAAACCCAAAAACAAAAATGTTACATATTCCAGCTTACCAATACCTAAATGTGGTGGCTGGCTGCATTAGGTTTTTTTGTTTTTTTTAAATGTTTTTTTCTTTTATTTGTGCCTGGTGATTCGGCCAGTAACACGCTTCCTGTAACAGAGTGTCTCAACTCTATGAAGGAGCAACAGAGCCACGCTTGGACAGCAGCACTGTCACCTTGCAGGGATGGTGATGTTAGATGAACTAGCAGATTTAAATGGACTTGACTAAGAAATTTAATCAGTATTCCAGATAACACTTTTCAAGCAGTTACAGCAACATAGATGAGTAAAGCTGACCATTGTAAGCACCCCTGTCAAGTGTTAAATGGTTTGTCCCAACACCATGTCACTTGTGCTGGACAGCTTGGTCTAGGAAAATGAATGCAGCTACCACATTTAAGGAATGGTAAGCTGCAATATATTACATTTTTGGTTTTGCGTTTAGATATGCTTTAAGGCAGATTTAGGTACTTATTTGTTAAAGTGACACTAAACTCCGGAGTCAAATCTTAAAAATGCATTCAAGTAACCCTAACCCTAACTATTAATAAAAATGTATCTTATTTGTGTACCACTCAGCTGTAGAGCCTCAAATCATCTCTGAATTCGTGCTGACACTTTCCTTCCTTCTGGAGGGTGGCTTCTTTTATTCCCCACCATGCGGCACCCAGAAGCAGTGTCAGGATGCAAAGTGGTTACCGGGGGACACCCCGTCGTGACGTCATCGCACATGTGCGGCGATCTTATTGATACCTGCCGGCGGCCATCTTGGGGATGGACCCCGGCAGAGAGAGGAGGGGACAGTATCCCAACGGGATAAGGTATGCCCCCAGATCCCCTACTCCAAAACAGTCGGGTTCTCGGTCCATGACCAAGTGCCCGACTTTTCAGAGGGGGGGGGACACCAAAAATGACTGTCAGTCATTTTGGTGTCACCCGATAAATTCCAGTCCATGCATACACTGGATTGAAATGTTTTTTTTTCTCAACACACTAGACGTTTACCACGCACGGCCATTTACTTATATAGATTAGCAATGAATGAAGCAATATATCGATATGAAGCAACCATAAAATTGGAGCCACATCTAATTTTTAATGCAGGAGGTTATTATCTAACCAGTCTTACAAGAAGTGCCTCAGTTTCCCAGTATGCACTTCAATAGCGCAATACTTTCCCGGACTAAGCCGCTCCACCTTAAAGCTGGAGGTGGTGAACTCCTTAATGGGAGAATAAGGAAATCCTACAGATTAATAGGAAGTTATGTGAATTAATATTTGCCTAACAGAGTCCTATATTCAGATGTTGAAATTTAATTAAGTCTTCAATATAATTATATATTAACCAAAATAACCTATAGCAATTAAGAGTGACATGGTTTCAGGCTATCCAATGACTTGGAAAGAAATACACCAGGGTACACACAATACATGAAAGAGAGTAGGAAAGGCTAACTGTGACGGTAATGCCTGCCCTTGTTAAGAATAAAGAAAAACAAAACATGAACATTCAAAAGTATGTGGGATTATTTTGTTTGTCATTACAATACTGGATCAGCTGAATAAGACACAAATATGCTACATTTTTGTTCATAGTTAAGGTACTTGAATATATTTTTAAGATTTTACTTCTGAATTTATGGTCACTTTAAAGCTAGAAAATGTGACTACTTCTGGAAAAGTTAATTCCCTAGCACAGCCTGCTACCACATAGACTTTTCTTCTGGGAGTGCCCAATTACTCGCTATGCTTGCCCAAATCCTCTGTCTCTTTGCTCTCTACATAGAGAAGGGGGATACTTCAGTGACATCTCAGAGTTTACCGACATCATTGAATATTTGCCTAACAGATTCCTATATTCGGATGTTGAAATGTAATTTCCAACTGTAATACTTGTTATAAGGCTTCAATATAATTATATACTAAGCAAAAAACCCATAGCAATCGAAAGGGACATGGTTTCAGGCTATGCAATGACTTGGAAAGAACTACACCAGGGTACGCACAATACAGGAAAGACAGAGTACGAAAGAGGGGAGGTGGAGTTGCCATGTATATCAAAAATAGCACAAAAACATCATTCATTAAAAAAACAAATGAACTACTTGAAACTCTCTATGCCTGCCCAAAAACCAGAGCAAGATCTTCCCTCTGAAATTGTGTAGTATACAGACCTCCAAGACAGTCTGAGGATTATCATAACCTGTTGATTTATTAAATAACCCAAATGACAATAACAGGAGTGGTTTTAATTATTGGTGAATTCAACATGGCAGATATTGAAGTGGAAGTGAAAAAGATGTAGATGTGGCCACTGTCATCCAATAAATGTAATGACCAGGGGGGTGACAGCAGTCACATCTGCTAATTGCAGTCCACATGTAATTGTATGTGATACGATTACATGCGATTTGGAATAGTTCACAATCACCTGCTAGCCCTGTTCTGGTATCCTGACAGCGGCAGCCGGCCGCTGTCAGAATACAATGCAAATAGCAGGGATTTGTCCGTCAATGCTCGTAAGCACACTCTACAGAATAGCAGAGGTAGCGAGAAAGTCAACGGTCAAAAGTAAGTAAAATTAAACATGAAATATGCTACTAACCCCCCTCCCCCCCAAAAAAAAAGAAATTAAAAAGATGTAGACAGGTTTAACTTAAGGTGAGGGTTAGCCAGTTAGATGAATTCGGTTAGTGTACGACAATCTTTTTTTTTTATTATTAGAGTGCTTAAGAGTTAGAAGTGGTCAGGTTTTTATGCTGTCTGAGATTCACCCTCTGTATTCGTCACAGTGACCAATGTCATTTGACAGCTCTCACCAGAAAAGAAGGAAAAAGGGTCTGTTCAAGAAGGGACACTTGTTTCGGGGACTGTTCTCTGAGAAATTATGGAGGCTGTGATTGCTGAACTCCCTTTTGAGAATGCTAGTTCCTTGGCTGCCATACTGATCTTTTAGCTTTAATGTTGTCTGAGCCTGACCTGACACAGATATAGAGACAAGGAATTCTGACACTCATTTACAGCATACTTTTTGACTAGCGATATAATTTAACCACTTGCTTGTAACTGAAAAAAAAAAAGTATGGAGAGTACTCTGCTGCTCATTGTCTGCTGGCTGTAGCTTGTATAAAAGCCCCACTGTAAAGTCTCCTAGGCTGATGCATCCTTTTAGTAAAAATCCCATAATACCTTTAGCCACCAGAAAAAGTCAGGAAATCAATGATTCTACTAGATGGCAAAGGGGTACTAGTGACTTCACACTGCCAGGCATTGTGATTGCAGGTCTGAACAAGCAGCAAGTACCTATATGATGCCCAGCAGCTGTCACCAACTCATTGATGGCTCAATGGTAAAGTGTCTTGACTAAGGGCCACCATCCCATCATATGTTATAAAGTCCGTCCAATGGAGCAAATCTCCTCCCTTCTCCCAGTCCAATCCTCCCTTGACGGTAAAAGAGAAAGACCTGGATTGCGCATGAGATCCATTGTGCTATAAATTTACAAATCATTTGTACGATTAGAATGGTTTGCAGCTGTACAAGAATTAAAATAAGCATCATACAAATATATGGAAGGTCATTCTGCTCTGAGTTTGATGACTATACAAATTCCTTTACTGATTGCTTCCCACACGTGGAATATCATATCTCTTTATGCAGCACGGTATGAACACAGGTTATAAACACAGGCCAAACCTGTTAATTAAAAGGTGATTAATAATTGTTTAATAAAATTTAAAATATGACAACCCTTTCCTGGATACAGCCCTTTCCTGGAAACATTATACAAAATGTTTACTTACTTCTAAGCAGCAATCACTCCGAACTTACTAAGGTTATGGAGGAGTGTTGTAAAACATACTTCTCTTACTCATTTTTCCACGTGACTTCGCCAATTCAACAATGCATTCTAATAATAACATATTTCAGCACATATGTAGTATTGATCTCATCCAACTTCTGTGTCTACCACAGTAACCTATGTATATATAACAACTGTCTATCAAAAACATCAAACCATTATAAATCATGTCAGGAGCATCACTAAGGAATTTTAAAAGCATCCATTTTATTTCCCTAATTGCTCCTAAAAGCATTTTCTTAGATGGCCCTCGCTTGTTTCTTTTGACTCTGGCACCACACTAAAAGCCAGGAAAGACTATACAGTATATGAAATAGTCAATACACAAAACCAAACCATAGACATCAAGCGACAACTTACAATGGAGTTAATGCTCCAAAACATATAAATAAAGCAGGTCCTGCATGTCCTGTTCATAAGCAACTGGCCAGGATCAAATAACTGTTATCCAACTTATGTTGAACAATTTTTAATAAGCACTAACAGACACATAGCAGATTTTGAACACATGGCGTTTCCCTAAAAAGACATCGCCAACTGGGAGGAGGCTCTGGGTAAACCCAAAAGTGCTGAATGGGTTATATTTCCCACGTGGTCTAGATACAGGGAGAACCCAACCAGCTTAGAAGAATATGTTACTGGAAAATGATGTATAATTACCATATCAAGCCAAATATGGGAAACATTTGCAGATAAGGCAGTTTTGGAGACAACCATCTAAAACTTGCATTGAGCAAAGTTTGGTTTTAAAGGGAACATGTAGTGATTTTTGTACATATTTTCTATATTTATTATGTTTGGGACTAATATTAAAGAGCCTGTGTACATAGATTTGCAGGGAACAAGCTGGCCTTTCGGTTTCTTCCGGTTTTTCTGGATTGTAACTGGGATCTGGAGCTCTGGAGAGTTCTTAGTGTTCTGGGTGGGATGAAATCTCCAGTCCTGAGGTCAGGTGTTGCCAGTGCTCAGATGGCTGAGAGCAGTCTCATTAAGAGCCCAGCCCAGAGCTCAGGGGAGAGTTGGAGGTGTGTGCTGGAGGCACACGAGGGTCAAGCAAAGCCAGTGGTGTGTGAGTGTGCAGGAGGCACACGGCCACAAGCAGACTCAGGTGCGTGCTGGACGCATTTGGAACAGCCAGGGGAGGCTGGCGAAGGTCGGTGACCCAAGAGACTTGGTGGACACACTGCTGAGAGAGCAGTGTGAGCAGTGTGAGTATCACACAGAGGTGTGCTAAAGACTGTATATGCTGAGGAAATGCAGATTATTATAAGAAGCACATGAACTGTTTCATTTATATTGAAGAGGAATAAAGACTGTCCTGTTTATGTTCAAGTTGCCTTCAAGACTGGTCCTTATGCGCTCACCATTGGGATTGCTCTATCTATAATAATATACAATACCAAAACATCCCCCCACCGATATATTTATATATGTTGAGTAGGGCTATAGTAAAGGTCACCAACTAAAAATGTAACAGCATGTAAGTGAGACTTGCCTGGTAGGAGACCGCAGATTGTCTTCGAGCCATCCCAGTCAGGTGAGAGTATGGTTTACCACATTGGAGTCAGATGTATTAAAAAGCATTCATCCACATGTCACCTCCAGTAAAAGATGTTAGGAAAGCCAAGTTAGATGTAAATATAGGTTCCTCACCACACCCCTTTCTAAATTATAGTTACTAGCACATGAGGACACCTCCTTCATTCTATTCTTCCGTGGTCATCACCTAGCTATGGATGGGAGGAGGTGTGAGAGTAAAAGAATAAAAGGAGGCTAATCAACATGTACAGTTTTTCTATGGTTTGTTCAAGTTTTTAAGTAGAGCAGGAACACTTTCTGCCATTTGAAGGGAATCTTTTACAAACTTGGACAATTTTAAGTTGATCATATGATGGCAATATCATAAGGACAAGATATCTTCAGTAAACAAAAACATGTGAAAATGATCAGAAGATGCAGAGGCAGCCGAAACGATATGCAAATCTTGATTTCTTGTAAAAGTCAAGCCTTGACCTGCCCCTCCTGTTTCTCAAGCATTGATTATTTAATGTGAAGAGTGACATGCAGAAGGCTTGCAAGTGGGAATGGGTGAGGTTGAGCACCAAATAAATGGCACAAGTAATGACCCATATATACATTTTAGCTGCCTTTATCTTTCCATCTGATTGCTTTGATGTGTGCTTTTCAGTGGCGTAACAACCGGGGGGGCACTTGCCCCGGGCGCAGGACTGAGGGGGGGGGGAACAGTTCTAGTGGATGTTTATATAATAGGGGGGGGGGCGAAAAAGAATGTTCTGCCCCGGGCACCCATAACTCTGGTTACGCTACTGGTGCTTTTCACTGAAAGTAGACACCGATTTGCATCATATGTCCAGTTTCATTGCCCGTCTGTGGCTGTCTAAAATCCATACCTAAAGGGTAACTCCACTTTCACCAAAACTGAAAATATAAAAAAAACGGTCACAATTCCTTTTGTAAATTATCAGCACTAATTTCTATTTCAAAGAATGTGGCATGGATTGTGCAGATACACCTTAAAGAGGTCTATCTGCTTTATTAATGTGGCCACGTCTCTCACCAGTTTCCTGCACCACTATAATGGCACAGGACACTTAAGGTGCCCATGGCACAGCACACTTAAGGTGCCCAGCAATTATCTGCAGATTTTCTGTGGTCAGATGCAAAAAGTGCAACAGATTGGCCCCAGTGGAGATTACTCCATCCACACAGTTAAGTGTAGATGGAGGAATCTGTTGCACCTTTTCCATCTGACCACAGAAAATCTGCAGATGATTGTAAGCTTTATGCTCACCACACACGTTACAATCTGACCATACAATCTTTGTACAATCAACTTTAGATCTACCAAAACTATGTAATATAAGCACCTATCTAGTCTACACAATCAATCTGCATTCAATCAGGCAAGCCCCTGCACTACATAGTTGTTGGTAGATCTAAAGGAAATTGTACAATCAGATTGTAAGGTGTGTGGTGAGCTTTAGTCTCCTTCCCCCGGCACCCAGAGTGTTGATTAGATCACTTGTTTGGGGAATGTGAAAGGACAGAATATGCCCAGAACAGCTTGTGAGAATTAATATAGTGATCTGAGCTGGACTATACTGCTGGAAGATACTTTTTTGCATTTCAGGTGCAAGCACCTTATAATAGACGGTGGTCAAAGTTGTAACCACTATTTTAAAAAAACCTAAAAAAAACCTACTAGATCAGCCTTTCTGAGCAAGGGAGCCTTCTGCCTTCCTCAAGGGTGCCTCAAAATGTTCACAGTGTAATGCCTTTCCATGGTGCGAAAGGAGGGAGACTCTGGTATAAAAGAGGGGTTATTAAGTAAAGTGGGTACACTGGTGTGAAGGAGGAGCTTTTGTGAAAGGAGGGGGCTCTGATGTGAAAGGTGGGATTCCTATGTGAAGGGGGGGGACGACATCTTTTGTTTTCTGTTTTTGCCTGTGGTCACGCCTTAAAGAATCCATACATATCTAAAAATCTGCTGACTCTTCTATTTATTGGAACCCATCTCCAACAGCCCCTAGGAAACAAACCCATGGCCTAATTTCTGACCACTTGGGGGACCCAGGTCAGACAAAATAAATATATTGCTTTACTTCAAATGGGGGTTTTTAATAGGGGGTATGGGTAACTAAAGGATGGAAGGTTGGGACCAGATCTCTGAATAATTAAAAAAATAATTAAAACTGGATTCTCTACATTATTGAACCTGAAGAATCAGGTTGATGTGTCAGATGACATGCGAGTAACATTGTCAGTAATTGTACCTCCATTCCTTGTTTTAATTGCACACAAAAAACAGCAAAAAACCTCACTAGCGTGTGTATTTATGATTTGCTAATCTACTATAAAATAAGATAAAATCCTTATGATTTTGTTTTAGCCTTTCGATTCCTTGCCATCAATGTGGAGAATAAAACCAATCTATTGATACCATTTGTAGTCAAACTGGTACCTAATTGGACTGAGAATGATGATGGTTTTGATAGTCTGACAAAGGGTGTATGGGGATATGTATTTGACAATCCATTGGGGGTAGTCGTAAAAAGGTAAAGAGCCCCTGCCCTAGAGAATCATTATAATACAAATTCATGTCACAAAATCAGAATTGATCAACAGCCAAGAAAACCTTACCTGAAATTGTTAAAGGGAGCAACTCTTTGTATTCCTACAGCGAGGACATTTAAACAAATTTGAACTCCTCCTTACATATGGTTCATAACAATTTTTGACTGGGGCTCACTAGCTATGAAAAGTGACATGCAGGGGTAGTTTTCTCTCTGTTGGATAAGGATCATTATGAGGCATATTTTTAAAAAAACAGTAAATGTGACTTTCACTAAACATTTACTGGTGTTGAATCAATCACTCCTTTAAAACCTATGCACCCAGAGTGAATATTTACTGAATGTCAGATTAACTGTTATATAAATGTGCCTCATAAAGATTTGCTATAAACTATTGTGCATAGAAAAAGGGTTACTGTGTGTAGTTTTAAGTTCAAGTTAATTTAAATTGTAAGATATCTTTTCATGAGCATAGCTGAGTCAGCCTCGAGCCAGTAAACATTTAACCTCAGATCATGTGAATAGGTTATACACGTTCACACTGGAATATTACTTCTCAAATACAGTGCAGCCTGTGCTATAGAATGCTGACATTACTGGTTTGCTGACTCAGTGTATTAGGAACGTGCATATTTAATTCAATAACTATTCACGTTTATCATTAGTGTCATAATGACTGGCACATGGAAGGCCAGTACAAGACACATGGCACAAGGTCTCGTTAAACTAATCTGCATGCAAAATAGCAATTTGTATGCAGTGTGTCAAGGATCAAAATGCATATAGATAACCCAAATCTTACTGATCAGGATTAGAAATAATTCTCCCATTACACAGTCATATCAGAGACAAACTTACACTTAGATATTTACACAGAATATACTTTACACAATCTAGACTAGCCTTCTCAAACTTGTTACCCCAGAGGAACCCTCAAATCATTTTCAGGTCTCTAGGAACCCCTAAAAACTAATAAATCTACAGCTCACAGTACATTAGGACGATCAGTGATTTGTAGATAAAATACATGAAAGAAAAACAAATGTCCCAAAGCAGCAGAGTAATAATAGTCATGAAGTTTAAATAAATCAAATAACAATGCAGTAGTGTAGTCTCCCCTTACATGGTCAGGGTAGTGCCACTTTATATTGGTAATAAGGAAAGAAGGCTCCCCTTGCAATGCTGCTAGGTGGAGAAGAACCCCTTACATTAGTGGTCAGTGGGAGGAAAAATGCCAGCCTACATTGGTGGTCACTGGGAAGAGTGCCCCCCTTACAGACAGCTGAAAATATAATTAGTGTTAGTTGTTACCTACCTGAGAGAAAAGAAGGAAGGCTCCACTAGACTCAGGTCACTGGCCCCAAAAATATGAAGGCACCATCAGCCATGTAGTCAATTCTCCACTACTTAAAGAACTCCTAATAAGCTCTAGAGCAGTGCTCCCCAACCTTTTTATCGCCGCGGACCGGTCAACGTTTAATAATTTTACCGTGGCCCGCTGAGGGGGGGGGACACGTTGATTGTTTATATTTTATAATATATATATATATAATTATTACATTAAATACGTATCTGTATTTATTTCATAAATATTAATGGAGGTTGGAGTTACGC